ATGTAGTGAAGGAGAATGGCGTACAAGATTTTGTAGTCTATAGCTAATATAAAAATACATGACACAATAGTGACTATTTTTAGATAATGAGATACTATGAGACTTGAGGTCAAACCTTATCCTCATATAAATCACCTCCATTGCATACTTACATTCCTCATTTTGTAGAGGTGCAATTCTCGCTTTGGGTGCTAGAGGTCCCGAGTTCGATTCTCAGACTGCCCCTTTTTTTCATTACACATTTTTTTATAATTAACTAAAACTTCAGAACAATTATACGAATTTCAAGTTTGGCAGTTGAAAAGAAGCACTTCTTTACTTGACTCTACATATGCAATTCTAGGAATTTTACATATGCAATTCACGGAAGAACAGAATGGTACAACGTGGTCAGACGCAGAAACCAAAAATCGACTGGAGGAGCAACAGGCAGGAAGAAGAATGATGGCAATCTCACAATCACAACCCGGCAGATCCAGAGGTCAGGTCAGGTCAGGTCATGCGACGACGAACACCCTGAGCTCCCCCCTGTCCCCGCGGGTGACGTGCGTGTCGTCGTCGAGGTAGGTCACCTCGAACTCGCCCCTGCCGGTGTTGGACGGCGGCCGGAGGTTGTCCGCGATGCGGGGCACCTCCAGCGGTGGCAGCGGCCACGGCGCGCCGAGCTCCAGCTCCACGATGTTGTTGAAGTCGCGGCTCACCACGTCGATCCGCTGGAACACCTGGCCGAGCGTGATGGGGAGGAGGCGACCGGTGGGCGGGCCGAGGCGGCTGCCGCCGAGCGTCCGCGACAAAATTTGAAGGTGCGGAGGCGGAGAGATGTCGAGGGTGACGAGGGCGGCGGTGACAAGGGCGGCGCCGGTAGTGGCGATGGGCGACGAAGACGAAGAGTGAGGAGGAAGAAGAAACGGCCGCCTTATATAGGGGAGGGACCTTTAGTCCCGGCTCCTGTAAACGCCTGGGGCGAAAAGACCTTTAGTCCCGGTTGGTATTACGAGCTGGGACTAAAGGTGTATTTTGGCAGGCCGCAAAAAATGCAGGCCATCTTTAGTCCCAGGTGGTAGATCTACCCGGGACTAAAGTTGGGCCGCAGTTTCACTTCCCGCCCGTTTCAAGCTCCATTTGTTTTTTTTATATATTTCTTTCTATAAAATACTAAAGTCTTGTTAATTGCACAGTAAATTAAATACAAGGTATAAAATTGTTTTAAAAGAATATGGATTTACTTTTACTTTATTGCACACAGGAAAATTATGTGACCTAATTTTTTTTGTTTTTTCTTATAAATATTGAAACATAATGTCATTAATAATTACTATTTCGTTAATGCAAAAATATAGTATTTAATTTAAATCATTAAAACTTTTGTTTTCGATTGGAAATTTGTTTTCACGTCATTTTAGCGTAAATCTTTTCATTTTTTCATCACTCATTGTCCAAAAGCGACATGAAAATCCCACCATCAAACACAAATTTAATCTGAACATAGAAAAAAAGGAAACACCTAATAAACATCTCTGAATTCACAATTATTACATAATACCTCTAATACACTCTATTAAACAAGAGATATATATCAAGCGGGCATAATAGTGAACTTCTTCTTAACGTATATCCCTTGGTTATGATCGCGCCGTAACCATGGAGTGTCCTCGTCATTTAGCTGGATGCTTGGATCTCTGTTCACTGTGAAGGGTGAAATTCGGTCATCCTTTTCATAATCTTCTGATATGTCTGACTTGTCTTCAATTCCGACGATATTTATTTTTCCTAAAAGAACTATGTGGCGCTTTGGCTCATTGATTGGGTCGTTGTTGTTTTTTCCTCTCTTCGGTTTTGTAGACATGTCCTTGACATAGAACACCTGATTCACATCCTTGGCAAGGATGAACGGTTCGTCTTTGTACCCAATATTGTTGAGGTCCACGGTTGTCATTCCATACTACTCTAAAATTCTCTATATCTCTAAACCATAAAGTATGCTATGCATGCCACACAATCCTCTGATTGTCGGATGGAACTCAGCGCACATATGTATTAAAGTGGGAAATTGTACTTTGTAATTCTCAAATGAATGAATAAAGTGATGTTTCCATGAATTTTTGCCCCTGTGTTTTATTGCACATTTACTTTATTTTGTATTCGGATGTATACTGGCACCCCTGCGCTTATTAGTACTAAGTAGTACGATCCGCGAAACACGGAGATATCCCCTTAGTGATTTTTCTGGCGAAACAAGTGGGAAACTAAAACATACAGATGGCTCGTCGTCAGTCTGAACATTCACATCGCCTCCATATTGATTATGTTGTGTGGACATCTGGCACAAGCATCATAACATCATTCATATATACTCAAGCGACAGTACATACCATAACGTACAGTTACTACTAATCATGTAATGGTAGTACATCGTATTGGATATGGTTATAAGCTTAAAAATATAATTGTACCATTGTTTAATCATATTTAATTTATACATATCAGTCATACCTATAATGTCATAAAAAACTTTTTCCCCAAAAGGATATAGTGCTTAGGAAAGTATACGATTTGAGTAAATTTGGTGTCTGCATTGTTTGAGATTGCAAAGGCGCTTGTGTGCTGGTAGGATAAACCTGATGATTCTGAAGGGACACCTCAAGTATGGTGGGTCGCTTGAGATTTGATAATGCAAGATTAAGGATCTCATTAGTGCATAGGAGTAGTAAGTGTGCATCCACCTTTCTCATTAAGCTTGCCTTGATCAAGTGAGAGTTTACGCTTGTTACTCTTGGTGATCGCCATCACCTAGACGGCTTGATGGTTGGGAGGTTGGTGATCATCCGGTGGAGCTCGTGGATGACCCAAGTCATGTTGTGAGCGGTTGTGGGCGATTCACCGTGACGGGGTATCAAAGAATCAGCCCGTAGAGAGCACTTGATCTTTGCGTGGATCAAGGAGGAGCTACACCCTTACGCGGGTGCTCCAACGAGGACTAATGGGGAGTGGCGACTCTCCGATACCTCGGAAAACATCGCCGTATTCCTTTTCCTCTTTTTATTTTGAGCATTTACATTTGAGCAACTTATTTCATGTCTTTACATTTATAGAATTGCCATGCTAAAGTAGGATTAGAATCTAAGGTGCAAAATTTTTGTACGGGAGAACAATTGAAACATATTCTAGACACAAGTGGTGAAATAGGCTAAGTATAGGGTTTATTTATTACAAAAAATTAGAATTAGCCCAATTCACCATCTCTTGAGCATCTTGATCCTTTTAGTAACCTCGTAGTCTCTTTTGCCTTTCGTTAGAGAAATCCTTGTGGTGGTAGAATGTTGCTAACCTAACCTTAGACAGCACTGATGCAGTGGTTATTTTTCTCAACTCTGGATTCTCGCTTTTGCTAGCTCAAAGTTTTCTGAAGCGGCGATCGGCAAAAAAAAAAAAAACCCCGAAAGCAGGTGGGATTCATTGAGAATACGTAGGATTATAAGGGAAAACAAACCGTGCTCTCCTGGAATCCGTATAGTAAAGCAATACTTTCGTTTGGGAAATACTGAGATGCATGCCTAGCAATAAGGCTCAAGTAAGTCGAGCTTAGGAACCATCGTTAAGACAAAGTGAGTCGAGTAACTCGAGCTTAGGAGGATCGTCGCTTCCTCGGTTGATGATTATCCTCTCGTTGCGAGCAGATGTGTGCCCGTGCTCGATGAACGCCCACATGTCAGCGAGGTTAGTTCTCATCGGAGCGGAGACAGGCAGCCTGTCCTAGTGCAGAAGGCGACCTGCTGGGCCGTCCGAGCAGCGTGGGCTGCAAATTTTGTAATGGGCCGTAAGAAAACATCCAATAGCGCCTGAGCCACAGCGCTGCGCTCCGCAGCTCCGCCCCCGCTTCCGGTTCCCTGCACGTTAGTGCCACCTCGCTAGCTGAAGGGGCATGAGGCGGTCGAACGCGCTATAAAACAAGGCGCAGGGCGCCGTCCCAACTCATACCTTTCTCGGCCTTTTGGCTAAGATCAAGTGTAGTATTTGTTCTTATCAGTTTAATATCTGATACGTGGGCCATGTGTCCACTTCGATATTAAATTTATCTTTTGTGGGGGAGGGGTCAACACAGTGGCTTGCCATTGGGCCCCTCGAGCGTCGCCCAGCCGTTGCACTGCTGGCAGGGCCTGGCGCACCCCAACCAATACCAAATTAGACTTACTTTGGCTGGACTGAAAGCTCTCTTTCTGGGCTGAAAACAGTGGGATGGATCCAGCAGCAATGTAGGTAAACATGAAGGGGAACCAAATAATTTATTTATAATATAATTTACATGGCTCAATGTATTGTATTTATTTCTATAAAAAAATCACGTAACTAACGCCTTTAAACCCCGTGCTGCCTACGATTATCGAAAAAGCCCCTCAAAACCCATATCGAAAAGCCCCTCAAAACCAGCATGATCACGAAGCCATGGAGACAGCACCCCACGAGCTCCGGCGACGAGGCGAGAGCGAGCACCGAGGAGGCGATGAGAGGAGCGCGCGCTCTCTCCATGGCGCTCTCCCAGCCTCCTCTCCTCGTGGTCGCGCTCTGCTCTCAGTACTGGGCGGCTCTCCCCGTCCTTGGCGTGCGTCGGCGATGGATCTCCGCTTCGCCCTTGTGGGAGTGGCGCCGAGATGTTCGGAGCTGGGTTCTGGGGCAGCGCGCTTCTTCTCAATGACGCCATGCAGGCTGCGCGCAGGCGGATCGGTCCCCCTGGCCGTGGCGAGGGAGGGATGATGGTCGGTCGATCTGGGAAATTGAGCGAGCTTGACGCTGAAAAGCCGTCCGCGGAGGGTAAGTCATGGATTGCACAACCCAAAGCTATTGGATCCCCCTTATTCGGGACAAATAGAAGTGATTGCTTTGAAATGGTTCATATGGCACGAATTAGTAGTGATCTAGAGCCCAATGAAAACAGGACGATCCTTGTTTCTAGGTCATTTATCTATGCGTGCTAATTTGAAGCACTTGCTACTTCCTTGCAGCCGGTGTCTTGGCTCAGTTTTTCTCTGCTCGTGGATGGAGGAGGGATAATTGTGTACTACGACAAAGAAAAGAAGCGTCACATTGAAGGTAGATTACGATGGTGAGTTGTTGTTGTTTGCTGTCGTTTAGCGGTGCATGGGAAGATCTTTCAATGTCCGTGTTGTATCAAGGCATATTGGATGTGGAGTAAACATCAACATCAGTTAGCCAAACCGAAAAGTTTATGTTAGAGGCAATCAGTAAACAAATCTTGAGGTGTTTTAGGTGGATAGTTTGCATGGGTTCAGTCCAGTAACTAAGTGTTTCCAAAGTTATATTCAAGTGGTAGTTCAACCTAGTGTTTATCTCCACTTTACCATATATGCTGTTTCATATAACTATTGAACTGTCTAATCCTGAATTCGTATGCTTGAGTACACTCAAAATATCCAGCTACCCTTCTAAAATGTTATGCCATGGCTACTTGGGATGTTGCTCTGGAAACAAAGGTTTCTGTGGCCTGTGGGTGTGGTTTCGACATGCAACCTTGTGTCTTCAAGTGTCGTGCTGGTGGTCAACTGTTAGATGTAAAATGAAATTGAAATTGTAGATGTGTAGTGTATCAGCTTCTCTGTCACTAATTCCCAATGTTAATAGCTTCTGATTTGGCTGCATGAATGTTGCACCTGGCTACATACAACATACCTACTTACTAAAACATGATGCTTCTGGAATGCATTATTCACACAATCAACACATTGTCTCATGTTTATTGTTATGTCCACTTATTATGAGTGCTGAACTAGGAATTTTAGAGCTTTTATCTATTCTTCAAGAACCTACTTTTCATGTCTAGCATTGTCCATCTCAGCGTTTTCATATAAAAGCATCTCCAGCAGATCTCCTTTCCTTAAAAAAATGTGAGTTGAGTTTTTCCCTCTCGCTCCAACAGATCCCCTTCGCATCCCTTTTTAATGGTGACCACCAATATTTCGCTTGCGAACTCCCCTCAAATAGAGGGAAAGATGGACCTTTCCCAATAGCTCCCCAATTACCGTATTAGTGATTTGCAAAAGCATCTCCCCAATAAATGTAGAAGACAATATCGGTGCACCCCAATATACAACTCTATTGGGGGAGTTGTATTGGTGATTTGCTAGAAACTCCCTTCCATAAAATCTTCTGTTGAGCATATACATCTCTTAGACTGAAAATTCTCTTTTTAGTTTTGTTGAAAAAAGATGGTTACTATCAATGAATGAAATCATTAAAGCAGGAGACACCTTACTGCATTTGTGACCTCCATGATTGAGCAAGCTAAGGACCACTCTATGTTTCATACGTTCCTTGACAATCATCAATTCTTTCTTCATTGCTGTATGCAAAATGGAGAACTATAACTCAGCCAATTGCCTAAGCTTGCCCTGCCTTACATACTGGCTTGCCTTTTAACAACAAATTTGGCCACAGTCTACACTAATGAGAAAAATAGGTTAGCAATGATTCGTGTGCATTTTCATCTGTAACAACTGCTTCCATTTTCGTACTATTGTTAGCTTTTCTGTAAATATATATGCATAGCTTTTAAGCAGTTATAAAAAAGTTGAACAGAAAACTAAGCTTGTTAAACAAACAATATAAAGGTGTCTGTTCCTCTTTCCATGCTTCCTAATGACATCAGCAAAAAGCCAGAAACCATTATAGGGACGGTGGAACCATTGTCAGAAGACTTTGTGCCAATTGTAATTGTATCTTATATTGTAAACTGTATTTTTGTTTTGACACCATTGCACTATGACAAAATCAGTATTTTTGTTTTGACACCATTGCACTATGACAAAATCATTACCCTCTGGTTCAGAAACAGATCGCCATTTACTATTTTAGCGAACATTTCAAACCTTTCCCTACTTTTTTTTCGAATGGACACGTGTCTTTTGGAAGTATTTATCTGAAGTAGGAAGGTATTAGCTCCTTGAATTCTGATAGCTGTTTATCTTGTCATTTTTTTTCTCTTCCATCTTACCCAGAATTGAAGAATAGAACAAGTGCTGTGAGGCCTGGGCAATCAGTAGGCACTGCAGCCATTGGTGGCCCATTCAAGCTTCTGAATCATGATGGAAAACCTGTTACTGAAAAGGATTTCATGGGCAAATGGACTCTGTTTTATTTTGGATTTACACACTGTCCTGACATTTGCCCAGATGAACTCCAGAAAATGGCTGCGGCGATTGACCAAATTAGTAAGTCAATTTGATTCTTTTGATCCTTGGATATAAGTATCCTCATAGATCCTGTTGTGTCTGCTTATTGTCTATCAATAATATGCATTATATTGTCACTTAGAAACTAGAAGGCATATTATTATGCATAAATAATTGGGTAAATGGGCAAGCCAAAATGAGATGTACATATAAGGTTATGTATTTTTGTTTGACTGGACTTGGTGAAAATTTCCACTGAAGCGCCCAAGTGGACCTAGTAGACAGTTTAAGTTAAGCATATTTTTTCAGTCATTATAATATGTTCTTATATGCAGAGGAAAAGGCAAAACTGGATGTTGTGCCAGTTTTCATTATAGTTGATCCTGAAAGAGAGACTGTTGAGCAGGTTCGGGACTATGTTAAAGGTGTGTGCTTGCAATTGTCCCTTAGTTCTTAATGCTTGTAATCATTCAATATTGTAGCCCTTTGATCTCTTATTACTATTTTGCAGTATCTTATTCTTTTGATTGCTCATTGCTGATGAACTATGTTATGGTGGGCAACGTCTACACAAGGAAGAAGAAGTCCAGTGGCTGAGAAGTGGACCGGGCCAAGGCGTCGAGCCAGGCCAGGGCGCGGTCACCATCGCCATGGCACACCTAGAGCGCCGGTTGGGCGTCAGTTGCTAGATCCTAGAGTTTAGGAGAGTATTCAGAGAATATGAGTCAGTTAGTTGTTCATCAATTAGGTTCTTCATCAATTATATTTTCATACTATATTTATTTGATGTCATAAATCTTTGTAATTTTTTTTATAATTTTGGTCAAACCTTGAGATACTTTGACTCTTCAATATTCTCAGAATGACTTATAATTTGGAATGGAAGGAATATTAGCTAGCATGAAATGAAATAGTAGGGCACACGTAGAGCACTCTTTCGTAGGAGTTAGAGAAAGAAAATGGCAACTACTTTAGCAAAAGAGAGACAGTAGGGCACACAGCAGCACGCACTTTTAGCATAGGCGATTAGGCGTACTTTTGTCGCAAACGAAACGTGTGTTGTGTTTCGTCACCGGTCACGGCAGCTGCCATGGTAGCGTGCATGTGCGTGCGAATGACATCTGGCTAGATCTCAAGAACGATATCTATTTTGGGACAGTAGGAGTATGCTCTTTATTTAGTTGTCCATATTTTTTTTCGAATACGCAAAAGATTTACGTATCATTTTAATTAAGAAGAAGAGTTTAATCATACAACCGATGCGCTTCTGATGAACGCCCTAGGTGATCTTACAACTATGACTGGACCTTCCGAGCAGACTGTTTTAAACGTCGATATTATATAAATAGTAAATAACCCAACTAAGAACAGCGTAGCAACCTCACGACACGCTCTGGCGTCTCCGCTACGCCGCGCGCGACCCTACTCCACCAACCGAGAAGAATGCTCTTCTACCAGCCCTGTTGTTGGTCGCTGGGAACAACTCATCCAGAGCTGCCACGTGGCTAGGCGTCAAGTTCCCTGCGAATATGGCATCGTATGTTCCCTTGGACGTCGATGAAACTAGAGCTGCCGGTGGCACGATGCCTATCTTCTGCACTAGGAGTACCTCGCCCCGCTTGAAGGTCAGTATGTGCGCCAAAAGCTGAGCGGCAATCGATTTCGTTGTCCACACACATACAGTACGCCTTGCATTGTCTTCTCCATCAGCCTGGGCAATCGGTTTTAACCGACACATCGGTTCGGTTTCTTCGGTTTCCAACAATTTTGGTTTCCAGAAACTAGCACCCGATCGGTTTGGTAGAAAACAAGAAACCGACAACTTTAGTTTCGGTTTCATCGGTTCGGTTTTCGGTTTAAACCGATTGGTCTCACTAGAACAGAGAAGAGGAGAAGCGAAGCACGAGATCCCACCACCGCCTCCTCGCTCGCGAGATCCCACCGCCGTTGGCTCCTCTGCTTTCGCGAGATCCCGCCTTGCCGTCGCTGCTCTGCCGCGAGATCCCCGCCCGCGCCGCTTTGCCGTGTAGCTCACCCCTCGGCGCTTCATAGCAGCCCCATGCGCCATGCCCCCACTCGCCCGCTCCGGCGCTCGCTGGCTCGCCCGCTCCGCTCCGCAGGGTAGAGGCTAGGGTTTGGAGTGGCTTGCCGCTCCCGCTCGGCCGCTCGGGTCTCTTTCCTCGTGACTCGCGTGTGGATATGGCGTAGGGGGAACCGGGGAAGAGCGCAGGGACGAGTCGTCGTCGTCGAGTCGAGTCGGGAGGGGTGGGGGGTGGCCGAGTGGGCCGTTAGCTGGGCCTTGGTGCACAGGTGAGACAGAGTCAGATGAATCCTCGAGTGGGCCTCGGTACTTCGGTTCGGTATGGCATAGAAACCGAAGCCGAAGCCGAACACCGAACTTCACAGAACTGGAAACCGAAACCGAACCGAAAAACTGAACTACATACTATTCGGTTCGGTTTCGGTTTGGTGTTTGGTTTTCGGTGAAAAAGCGCCCAGGGTGACTTCTCCAGCGTTGGCAGCCACCAGTTTGGAGCTGAACTGTATTGCCTTCTTCAGTGTTCTCAGCCACCAGTTTGGAGGTGAAACTGCCTTAATTTCCCAGGCACACCGGATTGCAGAAACTAAACATATGCCTGCCGGCCTGCCTGCGGAATATATATAGCTACTACTGTAGGTAGTCAGATATATATACTACTATATATATACGACTTCTCGATCCATCCATGGATCGATCAGGTATATATACAAATATACATAATAATAACCCATGCATATGCATGCATCCCATGTGCAAGACAAACTAGCTAGCTAGACGAATGCGTGCAAACAGAGACCCTATCCATCTCCACTCTCTCAATCTCTCACATTTAATTTCCATATATGTTTGTTAGGTCAGGTCAGTTCAGTTCAGTTCTAGCGATCGATCGAGACCTTGCGGCGGTAGGATCCGATACGATCCCCTTTCTCATGGATCATCGATCACTTTAACACAGCAGACTACTGGATGTCACAGGAGCCACAAGATCGTGATGATGCATGCATGTACATATGCTCGCCTACCTAGCTAGCTGGCTTTGTGGTTGTGGGCTTGTGGCCATGAACGAACGACGAACATCTGGTCAGGTCAATCACATGCGTGATGCCTGCCTGAGTGCCTGTGTCAAGCGGCCGGTTGATCGATGCAACCATTCACTCATTCATCAGCCTGCCTGCCTTCCTGTGTCAAGCAGTACTACTGAAGCTAGCTAAGCTTGTGGCCCAGAAATGGTCTGTGTGCGTGTGCTTGCTTATGCAAGCATGGGACGACAGCTAGCTGCGCGTCCTGTGTGACAGCAACGGATCGATCGGTGGCTGCTCTCTGATGATGTCGTCATAGCTATAGGATTACGCGGAGGCAGTTTAGCGCCTAATAATTGGGAATACATAGTTTGCAGCAGCTCGATCAACAGATGAGATCGAGCTAGCTTAGCGTGAGCTTGTGGCCCAGACAGCCGCAGGTATCAAGCTAGGTGTAGGGAGCTAGCAAGCATCGGCTACCTGCATGTTCTATGGAGAGACTGATGTGACGTAGAAATTGCACTTTCTCGACCTTCATTCAGCTGAATGCATGGCTGTTAGTACCTGATGTGATGGAGACCGATCGACAGTCAGAAGCTAGCTACGTACTGTACACGACTTTCTTTGCTCTAAGTTTTTACTGCCGGTAGAGCTGCTTTATTACCGTTTGGTACAGCTTCATCAATAATTTCATGATGAGTTGTTGTGAACTGTTTTTGCCAAACACCTTTTTTAAAATAGCTTTATGAGTGAAGTTCCTTTTTATGCTCTCACGAGAAAGCGGAGGGCTGCTGTTTCGGCGGGACTGAAAAATAAGCTAAAATATTGTTCCCAAATTTCATTATTGCGAGAAAAAAAATAATGTTTCATTCGAAACACTTTTCACATGAACAGTGATTTCGTGAGTGGGCTAACTGACCACCGACCAACCAAACAAGGCGGAGAGATGTGCAGCTGAAAAAATAGCTTTTCATAGCTTTCTCTCTTTCTCATTTTCCTCTCTCAGCCATGCATAAAGCTGTTGATAAACCTATTTTGCCAAATAATTTTCTAAAACAGCTCAACTTCACTAAAGAAACTGCTTTCGATCGTGAAGCTTCAATAATGAAGCTGAGCTGTGCCAAAGGGACCAAACAGTAGCTAGCTAGTCTATAATAAGTTATCGTGTTTGCATCTTTCGATTAAGTTGGTGGTGAAGTTGCAGTGCAATGCTATATATAAATCAGATCAATGTGTGACATTTGACGACAGTAGTGTTGCATATATATATATATACTAGTATAATGGAGCGACCATGGATGGAGCCAGCGTGCGTGCATTGGATACCAAAAGTGGCAAAGTTTAGTCCAGATATATATGAGATGTAGAAAGCAACTGCAAAACAGCGACAGCACGTACGTGAAAAAAAAATAGTTAGGAGGTACAGGGTTGTTGGGCTACGTACATATAATGACCACTTTGGTGGCCCGTGTATGCACACGGGCCTAGCGAGTCCCAATGGGAGATTGCATTGGGCCTCAGAGGAATGCCGGCCCATGAGGCGGGTACGGAGCACCGGGTGGCTCATCATAAAAGGTGAAATCATCAGTTTTGGTTGCTCAAAAAAAAAAAAAATCAGTTTTTGTGCTAACGCTTGGTTGGCACCTGCTGAACGAAGCTTTTTAGTACCGTAGTAGTGTTCGCCGTGTACCTTACTACCCAATATTCATCAAAGTCATTGACCCTCTGCAAAATAAAGATTAATTGAGGACAAGATTTCCAAATGTGTGAAGGGACGCAAACCAAAGGCAAATCCCGAACCATCTACAATATTAAATAAATTCGATATTAAGACATTTTATAGTTGATTTAGTAATAATAAAAACCAATTTGATGTTCTAGACGGTGCGGTGGTGCATTTTATTATAAACTAGGACAAAACTAGAGAAGTTTGACTTAAAACCAAACTTAAACAACTTACATTTTAAGACAGAGGCACC